ATATATATATATATATATATATATATATATATATAACTTTCTAAAAACCCAGCTTCCCTAAGAGAAAGCCATAGCTGCTACAAATGAAAAAAAAAACAGGTCTGTCCTTTGAACAAACTCACAACTAAAGATGCAGACCCAAAAGGTTGTTTTATCCCTTTTATCAATACAAGAACCTAACCAACAAAATGCATTGACTAACTTAAACCACAGTGGCAGCTTACTGGTTAGCTTTCGCGCCCACAAGGAGACGTATGGGGGCTGAACACTGCGCAGTTTAGGCGACGATTGCACATAAGAAACGCTAGTGAACTGAAACGCTCTAGTTCTGATATAATATGTTCATTTAAATTGAAACTACTTCTAAACAACTAAATAGTTAGATAGAAGAGGTCTTTTTTATTCATGCGCCAAAAAACCATAACAAATTTCCCCATATAGAGAGGATATGAGAGTAAGAAGCCTAGAAAAAGAAAAAACAGAAGTTAAGAAAAACCCAGAAGTGAAAAATGAGAATAAAACTTTAGCAAAATAAAGAAGACCTTTTAAATATAGTTGGATCTAGACCTGGTTAGAAAGAACTATTAAGAGAGATACGAAATGTTAACAAGTACGACATTGTCAAGCGTCAGTATATTTCAAGACCTAAAAAAAATAAAAATATGACTCAGTTTAGCCCCATTACCCAAAACTCCAACAAACTAATTTTACGCTACTATGCTTTTCAATTAAAGTTAGCAAAATATTTCCCATTCAAAACTTTGAAATGTTTTCCTAATCCCTCCACATTGTTAATTGCATAAGATGGTGAAACGCAGCATCACTCGATCTCTTTTTCATGATTTTTTAAGCTCAACATCCCCACTTTACTGTACCCAACCAGCATACAAACCACCAGTATTTAAACAAAATCGTGTCCCAACGGTCTTTTGACATTAGTTTCCTGAATATCAGTGAAATTTTTTCTGGGTTATAATTTTTTTAAAAGCAGATCCCATGCGTTGTTTTTTACTCTATTTTCAAGTTGAGGCAATAATTTCCAAACTTCACCTATCTTCCCTCATTTGGTTTGTACACAACAAAAGTAATTAAAAAATGCTGCACATAAATTTAAAAAATGGTTGCCCACTTAAAAACGGTTTTTTCTGTCAGAACTATCGATGTAATAAGGTAAAAAAACACAGTAATATTTACAAAAACCTATATTATAGTCACTATATGACATGATAAATTGTTCTATTAATTCCTCTATAAACAAAAACTCCATACAAGGAAAAATTAAAGCAGTACTTTCCATATCCCTATAACAGCTTCACCAAATTGGTGATAACAATATCCTCCTGAGTATTTCGACCCTGCACAGCGGACAATTTTCAACCTTCGACGCGCATTTCTCGCATAAGCAAACGTGACCACACGGAAATATTAAAACTTGGACCTAAATAGCTGACCCATACGTTCAAAAGTTATTTTAAATGATTTGATCAAAAATTAGCACTTACAAACATTTACTCTAAGCGTACAGTTTGGTAAAAACTTATTTGGCCGTAAAATGAAAGTGTTTTTAATGACAAGCAAACAACACATCTAGATTAAACTTTACACATATACATATGCTAAAACCGAAATAGAAAGCGAACCATGTTATCTAAGCAGCCCACGCACACTTCCTCATACCTGGCTACGATCAGGCGATTTGGATCGTCACCGCTATCACTTAACTTTTGAGCTTCAGATTGTGGTGTTTTTTCTAAATTTAGAAACAGTGGCGAAAAAAAAAGGATCAGAAATGCAGAGCCCAAAACAGTAGCAAATTGGCGTAAAAAGCAAATGAATGAAATGGTAAACTGTGAAATAAGTTGGTGAGGTGACTAACGAAACATTAAACTACTGAGTAGAAGATGGATTATGAAACTGGAAAATACAGACCTTTACTGTTAAAAACGCTCTTCGACTTCTCACGCATTCCTTTTTTACCAGATTTTTCACTTCTCTTCTTCCAGCTAAATAATATGCTAAACGGGCCCAAATATTGCAAAATTTTCTAAAAAAAAATTAAACGACTGTGCTATTTGAGGGCCAACAAATGGGTCAAAAGGTATGGCAAAGACTGAAAGTTTACACTTTTCTGTGATGTTGCAACTGGAACGCGCACAGGTGGTGCCATAAGTTCAGCATAACGTCTTAAGCAATCTGCTACTATTCGCCTCTGCTCTTCTTCCTCTTTCGCCATTGAAGACTGCTATAATAAATAAAAGTGAAAAAACAAAATATCCAAACCTCTTGCACCTGTAGCGACTGTGCTCTTACCACACAAATTCCTATTCAAGTAATTTAAGAAAAGATTACCACATCCATATAAAGCTGTTTCCTTCTGAATTCCTTTTCCGCAAAGACCTGCTCATAAAGCATCAATAACTTTCCACGCTCTTCTTTCAACTTCTCCTAAATTAGAGAAAAAAAGTGGGGACGAAAATTCAGAAGTGTACAGTTACTGCTTGCTAATGTTGTGATAACAAAAATTTTGTAAAGAAGCCACGCAATTTTTCAATTTCGGCAGCAACCAATTTTGGATTGTAACAGATGAATTTTATAAACAGCTTAGAAATAATGAAGTTAATCCCTGAAGTTAATGCAACTGGGGATAACAAAAAAGTGATGAAAAGCGAACCACAATTTCGGTATTATGATCATCCCTTTTCCTTCTTTCCAAAGCAGAAATATCTGCCAATGCTTTAGAAATTGATTCCGCTTCTAAGGCAAGATTTCGACTGTTCTCGTCAACCCTTTCTTTCACTGAGAGGATAAAGTCTTCCTAAATGGTTAGGCTATTAATTTAAAATAAACCATGAAACAAATTTGGAAAGACTATGCAGTTAGCGAGCCTAATTGTAAGGAAAAAGGCTAAACTGATAAACTGACCAACAAAGCTTGATTCGCTGCTATATCTTGACAGATGGTAACAAACGTAGCACGTCCTTCCTCTGTTTTTAGTTTTGCCAATAAGTCAGTTTCCTTGATTCGCCTAAATTGTTAGTTCCTTATACAAACATAATATTCCAAAGCATTTCAGTAAAAAATTCAAAATTATGTTTCAAAACTTCCCTTGCCAATCTTTTCTAAAAAAGAGAAGGAATGCAAATTTTTCCTCCACGCAGTACACAGGTTCCCTATAATCTGACTTCGTTTCCACTGACCTATCCAAAAATTATTGGAAACTTCATTATTTTTAGCATAGATATAGGAACTAAACCCTTAACGAATATTCGGGTAACTAATCTAATTTTTATCCTCAGTATTAAGATCGTCGTTTTTGGTACTCATTTGAAGCAAACTGATAACATTCTCTGCCCCGCAGTTCTACAACTTCCTAACGACATATGTATCAGGCATTCGATAGCAGCTTAAACTATGCTAAAAAACAAGGCAAAACATTGTTAACACGGATAGTTTCCAGCCAAATAAACATTCATTTTCTCAATTAAAAGTTAAAAACGAACTGTGACGTAATGATTTCACTCCGAGTACAAAAATAAAAAGCAATATTGTTTTTTAAAATTTACTTTGTTATTCTGTAATCAAACGACAATGTCGAAACTACTAATTACAACTGGTGCGAGTAAACTGAGCAGAACTGCGTTATGAAGAACAAACATTTGTCATAATTTCATTTTTTCTGGATTCCCCGTCTACACTTTGCATACTGATTTACTAATAATCTAAAAAATCATTTTCTGCGGCCACATACCAGTTATACACGGCTTTACTCTTCAAAAGCGTAGGGGTTATACTAACCATACCATATAATTAGAAGTAAACATTCTGCATATGCTGACCAAATTCCCCTCATTAAAACAAAGCAAATTTAGAAAACTGAGGGACAAAAGCTTAAACCCTGTTACGAAATGAGTAAAGCAGTAAAGTTTGCATTAGTATATTACAACAAACTCTGCATGAACTGTGAACAAACCTTTCTGCGCCGGAAGACGTTAAAGCTCACACTATTGAACCAGTGATTCTGGAGTTTAAAATCCCCCTAGACTCAAAATACCCCACGACTGATTATACAGCAAAACAAGACTGGATAAAAGCCAAACAAATCTTTAGATTTAAATTTTAGCTAGAAAACCACACAACACAAAAAAACCTTCAACTCCTTTACTTCAAAACAATCAGTAAAGATGATTTTCAAGTTACTACTCAAACAACAACAACAAAACAGATCACGATTACAGACTTACCACTTAAAAATGTGCCTCAAGCAAGCTCATAAAATGAAGAACCTTTGTCCAGTTATAACATAAGTTTAAATAATTTACTATTCAAGAAGTTTCTCCTCTGTTCTAATGAATAAAGTAGCAACTAACCTTTACAAAAAAATTCGTAGCATAAAAATTGATATGACGAAAATAATGACATTATAATTAAGTATCAGTTCCTTACGCTTCAAGCGTTTAGCAGAATGATCTGTTTACAGCAAAATATATTACTAGCTAAAACTTAGAGCTAACGAATTGAACTATGCAAGAAAAACAAAATCAGTATAACTGTCAAAACTGTTGTCTCGCAAAAATGTACGAGCATAAATAAGAGTCGACTTCTTTTACCGATTTCTCATAGGGAGAAACAGCAGTCTCGCAAAAAAAATTTCCCAGTGCCACTTTTACCCTAGCTATTTGTATCACAAATGGATTGCGAACAAAAACATACTTGAAGCACAAAATGTAGCTAGCAAATTCGCACAGCAAATTCTAACATAATAAATGCATGTCAGGTAAACAAAATGGGAACATGCTTGGAAAGCCTCATAAAAACTCGAAAGCACTTCTGCAGGATAGGAGTTTGTAAATACTTAAAAATTCCATACGGAAAAAACGCGATGCGCTTCAACGCTCAATATGTGAGTTTCAGGAAACTTGGCGCTGTTACAATTGAACCTCAAACACATTTTTTTTAACCACCAATCTACCTTCCCTTTTTCCAATGCCTTTCCCAACGCCTTACGACCCTTTACAATAGTTCCGAATTTGTCTACATACTTCTCCCTAATTTCCTATCTAGCGCAAAAGTTTTGCTTCGATCCTTATGGCGTGCCATCATGCCGTTTTCCTGTCCACGCGTAGCCGATTGACTGTGATTACAGCCTTGTATCAGTTTGAAGTTGAGTTCAATTCTACTACTTCTGAGCCAAAATAACGTTACTCCCCATAACTGAGTAGTTCCCACAATTGCTGATTGCTTTCTTCTAAACGTGCTTGATTAGAGTCATCCAATGGGACCAAATGACACGAGTTGATGGGCAAAGACTGCGAATACATTAGCAAATTGGAAAATAAACATTTCTTTCTCTTGTTCATGATCCTGCATCTGCCTGTTTCTAAATTTGCTGCTAAATGCTCTCTCCTGGTCAATGAATGGTATTTTTAAGAAAAATAGAGGTATGACGTCGATAAACCAATGTCAGGATCTGACTGGCTTAGGTGGATTCGTAGCCACCGTGATGTCGATAGAAAGATGGATATTCTGCTCCTGAGCAGCACTACGTAAAAGCTTTCCGAAATTACCCCTCTCCTTAAAAATACTTCGCCAGTTATCTGTTTGTAGTCAAAAAAACTTCTTTTAAAACCAGCCACTTGGAAAAGTGAAATCTTCTCCACATAATGCTGTTTACTGTAGTAGATTTTGCATGAATATGGCCATGAGACAAGCATTAGAGTAACATAGCCCTCAACAGGTGGTTCCATCGTGTTGTGAGAATTTATGAGTATTTAGCAACTCGACATGTGACCCTGAGCGTCGATCTAACAAAATCGTCACCTTGAAAGCAGAAAGTCGTCTTTCCCGTGGCTAGCCACTACTAACTTTTCACCATATTATACCTTATACTATTGACAACGAAATGATGAGCCTTATAATTGGCACTTTGAGTCCTCTCATACCGATCAGTATCGTGACTAACCTTCGAAGGTTCGCAGGAACACTACAGAGGGCCAATAAAACAAGTGAGGATTTTTTTTGAAAGATATGTACGTATTTGGGAAGAAGCAACTTCACTGGTCACCCGTACAGTAGATGAATAAGTTCAATGTACACTGTCATATCGCTGCGACTCTAAACATCCTTTTTTGAGGAGACCACAAAATGCTAAGAAACGTAAAAACCGTGAGTGATGAGCTGTGTGAAGAGTGGATATAAACCTTCGATATCTCTAAAACAAAATGCAGTCACACTCTACTACACCACGAGCAAAAAAGTATGTTTAGAGGAGGCGTGCTTAAATACAACAATGCTGGAAATTTCTCCTAAAACAACGAAGCAAACTAGAATAATTTACGAAGTGTTCAAGTGCAACGGCCCGCAGATTGCAAAGTGCACGATAATCCTTGCGAGCCCAAAGCCGGTCAGCAACCAACCGAATCATTCTCAAGAAAAAAGTCCCCAGATGAAAAATTTTGCCTCAACGTATGTCAGAATATTTCGAATACCACTTAACCGACAGACGCAATGGCCTTAATGTCATAAAGCTTTCATTAACAAAAAATAATGCAAAATTAACTATTATTTAAACTGTTCCTGTAGTTACGGATCCTTTGACTCAATATTTTACCATATTATTTTAGGAAAACAAAATATAGTTTGTTGGTCCACGTCTGTTAATTGCTCATCTAAAAGAATTGTTGACTACAATGCCACTGAATTTTTTAGACGATTACTAATAATAAGAAACCAAAAAATTTACAATTACGAGAAATGTAAACTAAAATGCATGCTATTAACATGCTAGACTTTCTCTTGCAACGGATTTGAATCATATTCTTTCATGAAAGACAAATCATGGAATTATTTTGTAATTACAGCATCTTCTTCAAAATCCAGATCTTGTTGCCTAAATATTTTTTAATAGTTCACCTTATAAATTATGAAGTAAAGCGTATGTGCGCCTCACTACTACTGATTCAAGTTCGCTTAAAAATATGTCAAGAAAGAGGATAAAACAAAATAAAATTTGTTACATTCAAAAAAAATTTGGTGCGTTTTAAAGTATTTTACTGCAAAAAATTGCAATATTAAAGAATATTAGGAAAATTTGATTTTATACGGCTCGTAATGTATTGCCCTTTTTCAATAGCCAATTCATTTTTCTTGCACTTTTCTTTCATCTCTTTTTTCTTCTCGACATAAATTCACTGCCTAACAATATGTTAAAAACTCATCATACTGTAATTAAAAACTGT